TAGTAGTAGTAGTAGTAGTAGTATTAGTACTATTAGTACTATTAGTATTAGTGTTAGTATTAGTATTAGTATTGTTGTTGTTGTTGTTGTTAGTAGTAGTAGTAGTAGTAGCAGTAGTATTAGTACTAGCATTAGTATTAGTATTAGTATTATTAGTATTATTAGTATTATTAGTATTGCATCTATGAGCCAAACGCTAGAGGGGAAAAAGAATCCCAGCAAGCCAGATAAACATCTTCATTCTACAAATCCCCATGCATTTCAGCCTCGGGCTTTTCTTAAAAAAATGTATTTTTATTTAATTTATCTTTAATCTCTGAGGAAAACCCCAGAACTGTTAGAGACCTGAAATATGCTAGGTGTCGTAATATAAAGATCTGAAATTCTGATTTTAAAAAAAAATTCCTCCAGTTTTTGCCTTTCACTGAATGCCTCCTGGTTCTGATTTATTCTTGCATCTGTAAGACATTTTAATCATATGTTTATTTTACCTATCCCCTTGGCACCTTGTAGGTGAAAAGCATGATTTATACATTAAAGGAGGAGAGAAAGAAAGATGGCTTCTCTACTAATAGCAGCTTGCAGACCTTGCAGGCTGCATGTTCAACAAGTCAGCTTTGACCTATCTAGAGATGCTACACTCATATGGCTGGTTCGATTTCCAATACAGTGGAGCCCCACATAGTGACGATAATCCGTCGCTATACAGGGCAAAAAACCCCATAGGAACGCATTAAACTCCATGTAATGTGTTCCTATGGGGGATAAACTCACCGCTAAGTGGGAATCCTCCATAGGGCCGCCATTTTCGCCGCCTCGGTAAGCGTGGAATTGGCGTGAAAATGCTGTGGTCAGCCATTTTCTTGATCTGGTGGCCATTTCGGAACCGCCGATCAGCTGTTCCCAAAACATCGCATTGCAAAGATTGGTAAGCGAAACGCTTACCGATCATCGCAATGCGTTGTTTACCCTATTTAAACATCGCAATGTGATCGCAAAAAACGCGTCACTATGCGGATTCGTTGTTAAACGGTGCGCTCGTTATGCGAGGCACCACTGTACTGATCTCAATGGTCCTCATCAGTAAACCTTCTTTATGCCTGAAATATTTTCAGTGGGGAGTGTGGGGTAGAACCTGTATACCAGTGACAACTGGATGAATAAAATCTTGAACAAGATGGAGAGACACAAGGCTCAAATATCTGTCAGCACCGTGTTAACTCTCTGCACACAGAAAGCTAGAATCACAAGAAATTTATATTAGAATTGATTTATTTACTTTTCTCTGTATAAGAGAATATGGTTGTAAATCATTCACCACCACCACCTCATACACACCAGCTGCTGATGCAGCCTGAAGTTCAACAGCTAAGACATCGGTTGACCACCATCAAAAGGAAACTAGGTGACAGTTGGTGAATATCCAGTGCATTAACCCAATCATCTTCAATCAGCCTTTGTATATTGAAAATTACATTCCTGTCTTGTCATAATTACTATCTACCAGTTTGCCCTTTACAGAACGAAGACACAGGGACACGTGTGTGTGTGTGTGTGTGTGTGTGTGCACACATGTGCATGCTGCACAAAGAGCTACTTTTGAAACAAAGTTTCTTCAAAGAAAAGCCACATTAAATCAAATGTTTAAGCCTATGGAAATGACTGAATGCTAAATAAAGATGGGGAGGTTGACCCATTCCCTCCTCGCCTCCATTGCACACTTCTCCCACACAGGTGTCAGCTCAAAACTTGCATGAAAATAGTTCGAGGAAAATGCATATGAAAATAATGTGCATTTCACATATGTGTTTTTTGAATGCTGACTGATGTGTCGAGTTGTGAAATTTTGTGCATACAGTGTTAAAATAATGAAAGGGTATGTGGAAAAAGCAGTCCTAGAAATGAAAGTGCTTTTGAAATTGAGGCTTGAACAATATATTCATGAAGGCTTTCATGGCCAGGATCTAATGGTTGTTGTGAGTTTTTCGGGCTCTTTGGCCGTGTTCTGAAGGTTGTTCTTCCTAACGTTCCGCCACTCTGTGGCCATCCTCTGAAGATGCTGGCCACAGAGACTAGCGAAACGTTAGGAAGAACAACCTTCAGAACATGGCCAAAGAGCCCAAAAAATCCACAACAACTGCTTGAACAATAGTTTACTAAAGTAACTACAACACCATTAGCCAGCTCTCCAGGCGAACAAAATTGTGCTATACATTAACACTGCTAGGGGTGACAGATCAGCATCAGGCAAAGAAAGGAGAGAATCAATAAAACAATAAAACATTACAATATGGTAATATGCCCAGAGAGGGCATTTGCAGGTCCTATACTCTGGTTCTACAGTACTTTGTGTAGGCCTTTATTCCTTCAGGATTTGCAAAATTTTAGTTAAAAGAATGATGTTATTGTCATAGCAGCAGCCTGCCAGATTTTGAGTTACAACCCCTTGAAGTTACAGGAAGTGCACGAACAAGAGAGATTCTTATTAATTTGTTTTTCCTGGTACACCAGGCCCTTAGATCTCCAAGCCTAGCAGAAAAGATTGTTTATAGTTTGAAGGGAAAGAAAAACAACTGAAAGAACTATAAATATATAGAAACAGCACAAGTGCAGTAACATCAGCATTCAAATAATCACACAACATGCCACACAAACTGGATACCAACAACAATCACATAGCAGAAATAGTGGTAGGAGATAAGGATGACATGCTTTTTCCTCCATACATTCAAATTGTTTAGCTGGGTGAGCATTTGGAA